GGGATGTTTCCCAACAATATGAATATACTTAATGTTACTGAACTGCACACTTAAAATGATTAAGATGAGCCCTGGCTGGCGTAGCTCAGTGGATTGAGCGCGGGCTGCGAACCAAAGTGTCGCAGGTTCGATTCCCAGCCAGGGTACATGCCTGGGTTGCAGGCCATAACCCCAGCAACCGCACATTGATGTTTCTCTCTTCTCTCTCTTTCTCCCTCCCTTCCCTCTCTAAAAATAGATAAATAAAATCTTTAAAAAAAAGATGAACTACTTTCTTAAAAAAATGATTAAGATGGTAAATTTAATGTTTTTTTTTCTCTCAGTAAAAATATATTTTAGGGGGAAGATGGGTGGGTGGAGGTGGAAGAGGGTATAGAGAGGATAAATGGTGATGGGAAAAATTAAACTAAATTAAATGTTAAACATTTTAGCTTAAAAATGTGTTATTCTCATGAACAATACATTTTTTGTGCTTGACTTAAAAATAAAACACCCACCTCATTGAAATTCAAGTTTGAAGAGGATTTTAGGGATTATCTAGATGATGACATTGAGGCATGAAGGTGGAGCAGGTCTTCTCAACCTTGATACTGTTACCTTTTGGGCCAGGTGCTTCTTTGCTATGGGAGGCTGTCCTGTGCATTGTAGGGTGTTCACCAGCATCCCTTGTCTCTACCCACTAGATTCCAGTAGTGACAACCATAAGTGCCTCCAGATATTGCCAACTGTCCCCTGGGGGTGGGAGAGTAGTGCAGAATTGTCCCTGGTTGAGAACCACTGAGGTAGACAAAGCCTTTCACTGTTGGTGCCTGGTTCCCCAACCAGACAGGGAGACACTGGAGGCCAGATGTCAACCTTTAATGGGCATATCTAAGGGCTCAGCACTGTTAGTCCCTCAAGCCAGGATGTCTGCATCTTTCAGTGGCTGGTGGGTGGTGGTTGGCTCTCACTATTTTATTAAATGTCCATGTGTGAACAAATGCTTCCCAGTTACCTTTTAAAGCAGGCACGTAAGAGTGGGTGCTCAATAGATAGTCTTTGAGATATAATTACCTGTTGGCCGCCCGCCTGCAGCATTTAAAAATTATACCGAGACAAGTAGACAGATGACTAAGAGAGTACTTTATGATCCTGGCTCTACACTTCCATTTTTTTTTTTTAAGATTTTTAAAATTTATTTTTAGAGATGGGAATGGAGGGAGAAAGAGAGGAAGAGAAACATCAGTGTGAGAGAGAAACATCAATCAGTTGCCTCTCGTATGCCCCACAACAAGGGACCTGGCCTGCAACCCAGGCATGTGCCCTGACTGGGAATCAAACCTGAGACCTTTGGGTTTACAGACAGTGCTCAACCCACTAAGCCACAACAGTCAAGGCTACACTGTTATTTTGGAGCCAAGCCTCAGATTCCTCTAGGGATGGTCTCTATTCTTATTGCTATAAATCTTAGCAGTTCCTTATATGTGCCAGAATTTCACAGAACATAAAGTACTCCCACACATATGTGACCTTTGATCCCCACAACAATTCTCTAGGATGGGCAGAGCAGGAGCAATTATTCCCATTCAGCAGATGAAGGAAGGGACCCTCAGAAAAATTCAGGACACATGGCTTGTGAGTGGCAAAGCAAGGATTGAATGACTCCTGCAACTCTAAGTCGAGTGCCCTTTCACTTTTCACTAAGAAATCCCTCCTACACAGCAGAGTCCTGCAGCACATTCCACATCTGTGTTCTGTGGAAGATGGCAGCCCCCAGGGCCTGTGTCAGAGTCTTGACCTGTTCTCCCCCTAAGGTTATTATTTGTACAGTCCTGATGGGAAAGTGTAATACAGGGTGAGAGGTGTGGTGAGCTTCTGGCCCGTGAGGATCAAAGCCCAGTCTCAACCTACTAGACCCTGCTTCTACACTGTTCCCCCAGTCCTGAAAATCCTGAGATCTTCCCACCCACTTAATGGGAGGAGCACAAAGAAGGTTCACCTCAGCTTTCTCTGAACACTGTGGAAATGGACAGAACCTTTAAGCCCCAGGAGGAGCTAAATTTCAAGATCAGCATGAGTTTCACACTAAAGTAATCACACTAAAAATTGATATAGAGGATATTAGTTTTGGGTAATGTTCTTCCAGCTCCAGAATGTAGCTGTGCTGTGAGTGACATTTACTCCCCCTGCAGAAGCACCAGAGGCCACTAAGCGGGAGGAAGTGTTACATGATTCTGGTTTTCTAGGTAGTAGCTTCCTAGAATCAGTGAGAGGTACTTTCCTTTCCTTCCTGTTCCCTACCATAAATCAATTTTAGCTTGTATCTGATTTTAACTCAGTCAAAATTAATATTGCCGGGGGGAGGGAGAGAACCCAATTTTTATAAAATGAAGATTCCTGTCTCATTGCTAACCTATTGCAGCTCTCACCGTCATTCCAGCAGCTCTGTGGAAAGACATGTTATCCAAGAATACTGTAAGATGAGGCAAGAAGTAGTCAGACTTTGCAGTGGGCTCTTGGTGTTGTATATCCCACCTTCCAGCGTTTCTTCCACCTGGCATGAGGGAAGGAGCACGCAGTCTAGAAATGTCCCAGTGTAAGCCAGAGAACAGGAGAGCATATCCATTCCCACTGCAAAATTCATTTCCCAAGAACCCTTAGTGGAACTTTAACATTCTTTATCCTTGAGAAGAATGAATCTTTTAAATAACTTCTTTTCCCACTTCCCCCTTGCAACAGCCATTCCTGGCTCTAAGAAACGTTTGGTTATTCCTGAACCTCCTTTCAGCACCTAAAAGGCCAAAGTCAAACCTTGTTTTCCTCTTGTATTGATTGATTTTTTTAACCTCTTGAGCTAGTTTTTTAACCCTAGTTGTATTGCTCTCTTCTTGGCTGACTTTGAAATGCCCTATAGGTCACTCTTCTGATACATACCTGCTAGGCAAGGAATTTACTGTCACCTTTCAGTGCTTGTTATCAATTCTCAGAAGCACATTTAGTTTGGCACTTGAAGGGTCACTTGACAGGGTAGGGTGCCATGTCTTGAGTCCTAGGACAGTAGTGCCTTCTAGTCTCCACTAACCTAACATTCATGCAGAGCACATATGGGGACTGTCTAGACCCCTTCCCTCTTCTGTTACTTATCTCATACTGCAATTTTTTAGTTTGAAAAGGGACAGCTTATTTTGCACCCCAGAGGAATAGGAAATTATTGCTTTGTAATATAAATATTCTCTCCTCTTTCCCTTTGGCTGAAATAACTGAATGCATGGCCTGGAATTAGAAATTGAATTTTGATTTAGAAGTGAGTTTCAAGACCTGATTGAGGTTGAATTACGGCTGAGGTCTGAAAGACTGTTTTGGGAAGCTGAGCGTACAATCACGTACTCTGCATCTTCTTCAGCCCATCACCAGTTCCAAACCACTAAAGAGATATGTTGGGATTTTGACATGCCCTCAAAACAGTCAAATCCAGATGGCTTCATAATGTACCATCTAGCTCTGCATTCTACCTGTGTCCATCCAGCTGCTGCTTCCTCCTTCAGGCCTTTAAAGGTGCAGCTGGTGTGGAGCTTGAAGAGAGCTTTCAAAGTACCTGTCCAATGGACCCTAATCCCACCTTGCATCATAAGAAGTAGACAAAGGAAAGTTTGGGAAAGAGCTTGTCAGTTGCTTCCCCCACACTCCTGCTTCTTTGCTGCCCAATACACACATTGAATTAGCCAACCATTCTGTCCTAGGTGCTGGCTTCACCTCCCAAGAAACCCAGCCACTCATGTACAAAGGCAGAAGCAGATAAGTGGAAAAAGCTCTGGATGAGGCATTAGGAGACTGACCTCTATTTCCAACTTTACCCATCAGTAGCTGTGGAATTTAGATAAAGCCACTTAACCTTAGTTTGTAAATTAGTTCCTTAGTTTGTAAAATAGAGAAGTACCTTACCTTTGCTCCTCTTCCTGAATTTCACAAGGTTGTAAGGATCACATGAAACAGTGGGGGAGAACGACCTTTGGAGGAATACAGTACTGAGGCTTTGCATGTATTGCATGCCTATAAATCACTTCCAAACAACTGGAACTTTTTTATTTTTCATAAATGTTTATGAGAGTTATATGAGCCCATCAACATTATGAAATGTTCTTTTTTCTTTTTTATTTCATTTATTTACTTTTAGAGAAAGGGGAAGGGAAGGAGAAAGAGAGGGAGAGAAACATCAGTGTGGAAGAGATACATCAATCAGTTGCCTTTTGCATCCCCACAACTTGGGGATCTGGCCTACAACCCAGGCATGTGCCCTGACTGGAATCAAACTAGCAACCTTTCCATTCATAGGCCAGTGCTCAGTCCACTGAACCACACCAGCCAGGGTACAACTAGGACTTTTATAGGGTTATTGCCTATTTCTCACCAAGGGTGGGGCTGCTGTGTCTAGGGTAGAGACCAGCCTCTAAGAATACTGTCCTCACCCATGAGTCTGAAAAACCCCCAGTCGTGGGGTGTGACCAGAATCTGACCCTTTGTCTCACTTTTGAAGCTAACTGGCAGCTGGTCTCTGAGAACAACCCACTTTTCAAGCCCTGCCATTTCCAGCCAGTCTTAAGACTTTTATCACCTTGGGTGGACCATGTGCAACCCAGTCAGAGGGTCCTGAGGTTCAATACCTGCACCAGAACTTATTACTGTGTGGACTTGGGCAGTGCACTTGGTGGTATTGCTGAGACTCAGTTTCCTCCTCTGTAACACGGGAGAAATGATCTCTAACTCCATAGGCATAACCTAAGGATTAAAGAAGACATGTAGAGTACCTGACCACATTCCTAGTCTCTAAGCACCTGTTGTCTGCCCCTTTTTCCCTGCTCCTAAAGGGAAGCATTGCTAGACATACCTGACTGAAGGTGATTCATGCAACCTAAAGGTATTTTAGAATCAGATCAGAGATGAGACTGCCCCTACAAAGGTGGCTGGTCCTGCCACCTTTTCTGATGCTACTGTCTCCCTGGAACTTTTGGTGTCTCATGCAGGAAACATCATTGGCTCTGGAATCTTCGTCTCACCAAAGGGTGTGCTGGAGAATGCTGGCTCCGTGGGCCTCGCTCTTATCATCTGGATCGTGACGGGTCTCATTACAGCTGTGGGAGCCCTTTGCTATGCTGAACTTGGGGTAACCATCCCCAAATCTGGGGGTGACTACTCCTACGTCAAGGACATCTTTGGAGGACTAGCTGGGTAAGAGGCTCTGCAGAGGCCTGAGTGGTCTAGGATGCCAAGGCCGGGGTTTTCCAATGTGCCAAGGAGTGCTAGAGAATGGAGTTTCTCTTTTTGCCTCCATGTCATGCTTACTAGTGAAGTCTTATGTCCCCTTGATGCTCTTGAGAGTAACAGAGGAACCAGGTTGTAGTTTGAATCTCCGTTGACCTTAGTGGGCAAGAGTCTGTGAGGGAGAGCAAATATGATAACTCTGACTGGAGACTTCAAGGGAAAGCACATCACAAAACAAAGCCCTTTTATTGTGACAAATGAGAGTGACCACTTAAAAGACAGAGGTACTCTCTTCTCACATTTCCAAATATAATAGCCTCCCTCAAAAGTGAGGCTCTGATGTTGAATTTCCTCAGCTTCTGCAGCCCTGCTACTAAAGAACTCACCCTTCACCCAAGAGGTGCAAGGGTGTGGAGGACACTTCTCCCACAACACCTGCTCAGTGACGCCCGTGGCATTTGTGTAAGTGGTCACACCCTTAGCATGTCCTGGCTGTCAGAATGCTGAGGTTGCAAATTTTATTTTCCACCACTGGATGCTGGGGGCCAGAATAGTAGAGAAGAGATAATGAAAGGAGAGGGAAGAATGAAAGAATGCCAAGACATGTGTTGGTGCTAGTTGAAACTTAGCTCTTCATCATTAAACCATTTTATTGTCATTGCAGAGGGCTAAGTGTCTCTTTCCAGTGGGGACTGGGCTCCTCAGCATCTTGAAAATAAAAAGGAAATGCATCTCTGTAGCCTACCTGTCCCTCCTAATGCTGCTCCATGACTTGCCCAGGCTTCCCCTGATGACTTCTGAATCCCTGCCATGCCTTCGGTGGGGGTGGGTGTCTCCATTGCCGTCTTGGGTCAAGTCCTGTCCTGTTCCACCCCTCAGGTTCCTGAGGCTATGGATTGCTGTGCTGGTGATCTACCCCACCAACCAGGCTGTCATCGCCCTCACCTTCTCCAACTACGTGCTACAGCCGCTCTTCCCCACCTGCTTCCCCCCAGAGTACGGCCTCCGACTCCTGGCTGCCATCTGCCTATGTAAGTGCCATCTGGGCCTTGCTCTCAGGGCGGCCCCTTTAGCCTTTCTGGTTGTCTGCATGTCTCTCTCTGCTGCTTCTTCCTCTCCCTCTTTCTTTCCTGCCCTCTTTTATATTTTCCCCATTCCTTATTTTGCCATTTCTTACATGTGTGCTTTGGATGAATGAATTCTGCATATCATTACCTGGTGTTAAAAAAGGAAGAAACTTAAGTAGCTGCTTAAATGCACAGTAACTTTCATTGGCAGCATGCTTCATATAAAGTACTTTCACATATATGATCTGTCACGCTTGTGGGATGGGGTAACTCAGCCATCTCAAAGCCTCTCACAGGACAGCCAGCTGAGCCCCAAGAGGTGGTCTCCTTGGAAAGTGTACCCTGTTTGGCGCTGGAATAGACCCCTGTCATCCAGGCAGGTAGTACTATGGGGCCAAGACAGTTGTTTGGTCAGGCCTGCTCACAGATCTAGAGAGGATTGTGGACTCCAGAACCAGGCTGCCGGAAACTGCATCTCTGTACCACTTTCTAACTACTATGAGTGCTTGGCAAAGTAACCCGCCCAGCCTGCACAGGAGGGCGTAGTTGCAAGGATTGCACAGGACACTCAGATACCTTGTGGCCCAACCATTAGACAATGACATTGGTCACTTGGTGCCTACTTGCTGGTTGTATCTAGAGCTAGGGTGGTGGGGGAGGAGGAAGAGGAGATGGTAATACAGGAAGAGTGTTTTTTTGCCATCAGACAGACTAAGGGGGGTTATAACAGAGACCATATGAGTGCTGGCTACTGCTATTTCAGCATCTCGTGCACACAGACATGGCTTCCTTTTTCCTGTTGATGCTGGTGAAATTACTGAGTCAGGAGGCCACCCTTGGCCTCCAACTAGAAGTTGAAAATCCTGAGGCTGTTCAGTCCATCCCCTAGGAGAGAAACCAAGCCACAGTGGGGAGTTCCCTGGGCCTTGGCACCCCACAACTTCCTTTGCATTCCATAAACCCACCAAGGGTGGGTGACATCTTAGGCAAAGACCTTCTGGTACTAGTATAGCCTCACAGATTGCCCCTCAGGCCAGAGAGGTTACAAACCCTCCCAAGAGATGAGGAACACTCTTGCCTGCAGCCAGTTCCACAAAGACAGGTTGTATGTGGTCCCTTCAGCAGCCCACATCTCATCTGGACACTGCTAGCACCAAGCCAGGAGGAATTTAGAAACTCGAAGGACAAAAATGTTAAGATCTCCCTTCTCCTGACATCAAAGATCCAATGAGGCTTTTCTGGCCTCTCTCCTCTGCCTTCTAAGTAGAACTGCAAAGCAGTTATGACCAGCTTAACATGGTTAGGCTTGCCCTCCAGAGACAGGAATTTTTCAATGTCCTTGAGATACATGTGCAAATACTTTTCCACCTTCATAAGCAGGGAAATTTTCTTAAATCCAAACTTATTCTTCCTTATTTCCTTGGGGAAAATGCAAAACAGCTCCTCACTTCACCCTGTGCACTATCCCTGCCCTCCCAGATGTGAGGGCCAGTGGAGTCCCCAACTCCTCTCTCCCCAGGAGTGCACTTGTGGGCTCAGCCACACAGCCACACATCCTTTCAGACACTCCCAGGTACTTTGAGTCTGTGTGCAAAGTTTCTGTTTTCTGGTTCATTGAATACTTTTTTTTTTTAGCCCGCTTTTACAGACCCCTCAAATAATCTCTTAAGGTATCCAGTGAAATAAATAAGAATCAGGCTGTCAGAAAGGTTTGGTAGATGCTGTCTTTCATTAAATGCTATCTTTTATTTCAAGCACCCCTCCCACCATCATCCAGCTGCATCCCATTCTCTTAGCAGTTGCCAGGCAAGCCAGCTGTGTAGAACAGGCCCAGTGTTCCTTCGCAGTAAAGTCAAGATTGGCCCGGTCCAGCCATATTCTTAATAGAAGCAGTAGAGAGCGTGGAAATGATCTGGATGTACTGATATAAGAAGTTCTGCTTTCTGCTGTGTCATGTTGGTGTGATGACAGGCTGGATCCACTGTGTAAATGAGAATTTTTGAGGGAAGGGCCACCCTCTGTGGAGAGGTCACTGGTGTGTAATGGAGGGCCTCGGGTTGAGGGAGTTGGAGAACTGGGCAGGAGCCCAGCTGGGAGAACCGGTATGGCAAAGCCCCTGGCTGGGGTTTGCTGTGGGAGAGAGATGAGGTCAAATCTGGTTCCATGGGGTGTTTTTAGAATAGATCCGGATGAAAAATGACGGTGGGAAGAACCAGACGAGGTTGGAAAGGCAGAAAGAACCTGCAGTAACTGGCTTGCCTGCTGGGAGTCTGGACGGGGTGGAGAGGAGGGGAGAGGGGGAGAGAGAAAGAACTGCGGATTTGGATCACGCTTATGCAACTGCAGCTGCCGCTTTGAGTTATTTTATGATTTAGGTCAAAGCTGATTATTCACTGCGGACTCAGCAGAATATGCCTAGCCACCAGGCAGTAAAAAAGAAAGTATTTTACGTTTTAATTAAATGAAAAGCCTTCCTCCCTTCTCCAGAGCAAGCATATTAGTGGGAGGAGTGAATTAGGAAAGAGGGGATCAGAAGTGTAAAAACTTGGTTTTGGTGCCTTCTTTTGTGGTTTGCTTGAGTCCCTTCCCTCCTTCCTTCCTTCCTTTCTTTTTTATTTTTTAGTATTTCATAAGATGACTATATTCTCTAGGTAAAAGATGTTCCCCTTATCTTCACCCCTCTCTCCTGCCCAGTAGCCCTGGTAACCATGAAGGGGTATCCTTACATCCTAAATAAAATGCATCTATCCATGTATGTACCTGGGTATGTAGACATACATATTAATAGGTTATTTCTGCAGCTTGATCTTTTAGCATGTCGCTGCATCTTTTGGCTCTTACCTGACTTTCAGGTTATAAACAAAGTGGTCCCAGTGACACAAAAGAGCACCAGGTGTTCTGAGGTCCCTTATTTGTTCTTCTTGCTCCCTAACAATGGGTAGCCTTTAGGATCTGTTTGCCACCCCCGCCCCGCCCCAGGGGACCAGACCACCTTTTACTCAGGCAGTTTCCTGGCCTCCTTCCCCTCTTTTGGGGCTAGGGTCATGTCCAGTATCTGAAGTAGATTTTCCCCTCCTCATTCAAGTCCCCCTCTTCTCCCTTAATGTCTTGTACTAAAGAAGCCTCTTTTCCTTTCTCTCCCTGAGTAGAACAGAATATCCTGCATTCATTTTACAACTTAAAAATGCTTCTTATTTTGTTTTCTATCTCTCTACTGAGATTCCTAATAGGCTAGTTTTCCAGGACTTCAGATTTTTTTCTTCTTAAGGATTTCACTGTATGCATTACTTTTAGCCCTGAGTTGCTCTGCAATTTCTCTACATCAAGGGTAGGTGATGCTCCAAGGAAGTTTCCAGGTACTTGATGCACGATACTGTGATAGATAAACTCGTGAGTATTGTTTTGGATGTCTCTTGCAAATTAATCCCTTTACATCAGAGGATTCAACAGTCTTTCCTAGCATATAAATTCTTTAATCTCAGTTCTTTTTCCTTTGAGGCTTCGTGTTCTCAAGACCCAAACTTCTCATACCCAGGCACTAAACGTATGGCCTGCCTCATATGCCTGAACAGCACTGCTTCTTGCCCTTCCCTCATCCCCAGAGAGTTCTTTGGGTGTCTCATCAGTCTTTTATATGCACAGGAATCCTGGCAAATACAGACTGGCTAGAATTTGATTCTCATACATACAAGCCCCCCTTTTTTCTGGACATCTTCTAACTAGTCAACATTTAAAATATAAATGTATTAAAAATCCCTTGTTTTTTGTGCAATAGTCAATTTGACTAAAATTCCATTTTTCATTATTATAATGTATAAGATGAAAATTACTTTGTAGACGGATTTTCTAGGAAAAAAAGAAACTGCAAATCCATCGGTTAATTAGTATTGAATTCCTACACTGAGTGGAGATACAGCACTATTTATACAGTCTTGGAAGAGATTAAAGGCTAGTGAAGAGATAGGTGTACAAACAAATACAACACAATGGGATGACAAAAGGTGCTTCAAAGTTGGGAGAGGAGTGTTAGGGAGGGCTCCCAGCTTGAGCTAAATCTTGAAAGGCAAGTAGATAGGCTCCAGATGGGCATAAAATAGAATAGCCAGGTAGAGGGAAGGGCACAGGCAGGACTTGGGGTCAAGGGAGAAGTGACCTGTTGGAGAAAAGCAAGTACTTTTGAGTGGGTGGAGCCAAGGAGAGTGACAGGAGAACAGGTGAGCAGGAGCCAAACCTTGAAGGATCCTGTACATCATGCAGAAAAAAGCAGACTTCTTCAAAGGGATGGGGAACCACTGAAGGATTTTGAAAAGTAACAAGATTAGATTCACATTTGACTGAAGAAAAGACTGAAGCAGGGAGAAGAAAAGACTGAAGGCTAAGCATTGGTTCAGGCCAGAGAGGTGGCGGTCTAAAATAAAAACAAGATTCAGGGGTAGAATCAGCTGGCCATGTTGATTGATTGACTACTAAGAGGAAGGAATCTATTTTATCTACAGATCAAAATGAAATATTTTTCAACTAACTGTCTCTAGCTTTTGGGATGAGCAGTTACATCTTCTCTGTGTTTCTGCCCTCCATGTCCTCTCCAAAGCCCTGAGGACCACTGAACAGGTCTTTGGTTGGAAGTCTTTCTCAGGGTAGATACCCCAGGATGCTATTCAAAGTGTGCTCTAGAGTCACATAACTTAGGGGTTGAGACTCTCAAGAAGCATTATGTAAATGAGAATCACAATACTTTGCTCATTCAACAAATATTTATCAAGAGCTCAGGATGTGCTAGATATTCTTCTTGGCCCAGGAGATAGAGCCATGAACCAGAAAATCTTCATTCTCATTTGCAGCAGCAGCAGAAAATTAAACCTTTTCTCATAAATGTTTATTGAGTCCACTTGTATGCCCTCTATAGGAACTGCAGGACACGGAGGCATTCAATTATCAAATATTCAAGTGTCTGTTCTGCTCCA